TTCGTCTTGTCAGAGAGCTTACACCAACAGGCAAGATACCTCAAAAGCAAATTCTGTTTTCTGCCAACTATAATGGGTTAATTAGAATACGAAATAGCTGCACTTTTCTGATTATTTCAAGGCAATCAGAATCTCCCAGTTTCTGTATCAGCCCTGGGTGCCCTGCCATCGTACAGGATAGTCCGAAGCTGATGTCAATCATTTACAGGCTGTGGTGACACAACTGACTGTGTTGATGTCACTGAACGTGCTTGGTCTGCTGCTGATAGTACAGTACTGCAGAAATAAAACAAAGTCAAGAGGATCTTTTGTTGATAACGCTCAGATGCGACTTTCAGTTCATGCATAGCCACCAAAGCAGAGCAACCTGACACAGTTAAGCAGCGCAGACTCCTTGCCTGGTTTTAACACTTACAGAAATCCCCTGTTAAGTGAACTTCTGCAGCACAGTACTGCTGATGTTGTGAGATAACCCCTGAGTCCCATGAGCGGTAGGGCTCGATCTGGGCTTGGGAGATGTAATATTCTGATAAAAAACGGCACTTCCTTTTCAAGCAGATAAGTGCATGTGCTAGCAGCACCACTGGAACCTCAGTACGCGCCTAAGCGAGGGTTTGTCATCCTCTCCCGTCTCACTCCAGCCTTTTAACCGCCCCCTTTCACACACCTAAATGCAGCAGCAATTAGCATCCATAAACCACAAATGTGGCTTCTATTTCTTTTTATTTCACAACCATGAAAGCTAGCTAACATTCATAACACCCAAAAAGTTGTCTGCCTCAACAGAGGAGGGAATTAGGACATAATTAAACACTCATGCTTGACTGTGACTCCCATAGGAAAGAACGAGGGGGGGGGGCGCCATTATTTAATTTTTAAATTAAGGACACTATAACTACAACTTTGGCCACCAAAGGTAACAGTGTTGGGGGCACATAAAGAAACAAGGGAAATTAAGTGCTTCCTCCCCTATCTGTCTCATTGCTTGTCTCTTTTCAGACTAGATACAGGAAGCACCATGGGAACAGTGTATTTTTATGGTTGCAAGCAAGCATACACCATGTGCACCACAGCATGCAGCTTCCATTCCCTTGAGGCTTTTTTCTTTCTTTTCTTTTTTTTTTTCCCTCTCTTGTTCTCCACCAAGCTTTTAATTAACATATTACTATGGCCTTCCTCCTGATTGTTTGCCCTATACTTGGCGATCACAGTCGAAGCCCTTTTAAAAAGGGTGGGTAATAGGACAGGTTGAATTGTTTTCACTGAGTAGCATCTCACCTTTGTCAGTTAGGAGCATAATGAGCAACACATCAGCCAGTGTGTTCGCACGTGCTCGGAGCAGTACAAATATGGAACTGTTTGCTGAAAAAAGTGGATTTTCTTATACCAAAAGAGCACCAGTTGTGAGGACGTTTCAGCCTTATACACTAGTTTATTTAGCGCCTTTATGAAGTGTCTGTAGCTTTTTGCAAGGCTCACGGTACCACTTTCTGCAGACCTAACATAAAAGGATCCAAACAAGAGTGAGACAACATCTAGATTTGACCAGGCTCCAACTTCTGCCCAAAGTCTCAGAGTAAGTCCCCACGATGTATTTGGGGCATCACTTGTTAATAAAGCCAGAGTCACAAAAAAGTGGATAGTCCAAGAAACTGGAAGATTACTACTTACTATAGATGCTTGATGAAACATGGAAAAAACAGACGTAATTGTACTGAAGAAAAACTTGATCTAGACATATTAAGGCAGTGGAAAGCAGGCTATCAAATGCTCGATCTCACTCTATGAGTCAGTGGCCTCATGTTCTTATGATGGCCTTCAGCAGATGGAACAAACCCTGTGGGCATGGATCATGCAGGGGTTCAGGATAAAAACAAAACAAAAAGTTTTCTGTGATGCAGGCAATTATCAACGATGAATTGTGAAGATATGGAAGTGGAGCTGCTCACTCACAAAAGGGGTGGATCACGAACACCATGATCAACATTTATGAGACCCACACAAACATTTTTCGTTATTTCTCTTTAAATTTGATATACAATGAGGGTATTGGTGATCACACCTGGAAAAGTGCCAAATAGAGCTTTTTTTTTTTTTTCCCCCTTTAAACAGACAGACTTTTCATGTGTTAGGCAGGACATAATCCATTATGATACTGACGGTATTTCTATTCTGTGATTCTGGAGAATAGCATATATTCATTTTTACCAGGGCTAGTGATCCCTAAACGATAATACTCCCACCAGGGCAGCACTGTCAGAATGTGGTTTCACTTATCTAGAAGTAAGACAGATAGTTATTGAACCGCAAGGACTGCTCAGTGACTAACGTAGCTGCTACTGTTATATAGTAGGCATGGCATGAAAGCTAAAATTATTTGTGAATTTTAGTATCCAACAGCAACTGAAGTGGCACTGAGAGAAATTTCTTCTTTAGGAAGAAATTTAAACACACCTACCTATACTCGCATAGTCTAGAGTACTAGCGCAGCGTGCTTAGATATTTAAGATTTATTGTGCTTCCGGTATCAGAATGATTGTAGAGAACTGTATGTGAAGCAATGAAGTGAACACAATATATATTTTATTTTGTGCCATTTAATGCTAAGATACTGCAGCTAGCTTTTTTTAAATGCACCAAAAAAAAAAAAAAAAAAAAAAAAAAGCTTTCTCCTAGCAATCATGTCTTTATTCCTACAGTGGGAATCAAAGAAGAGAGCACAGTGGTACTGAGTGGGTTTGTATTCACTTTATAACGAATGAATGCTCTAATGGTAAGAGGGTCTTATCAGAGTGAATGACGTTTTATTGATATTTATAGTGTGATCTTGGAGCTGTACATTTCCAGTATTTGCATTCCAGAACAAATTGTAAAGAGACTTTAAGAGATCAGCAGCAATATGAAAAATGAATCATATATTAGAGCAGTATCAATATAAACATGCTCTCACAAGTGTTTAAGTGGTACCTGACTTAAGTGTATGGAAAAGAGCCTGGGAAATGGTACTGAAGCTGAAGGGCGTAGGACAGTCAAGGAACTGAAAAAAAGACCTGCTAGATGCCACAACACTGCACCTGCAAGCGGCATAGACAGGGCTCCTCGAATAGGAAGGCGGGGAGAAGCTACAACAATTCCTCCTGGATGGTCGATATTGAGGGGTTTGTAAAAGAAACCCTGTCCTGGCTTCCTGTATCCACAGCTTAGCGACTAGGAGGCGCGAAGGGTAGGGCACCGGGAAAGCAGAGGTTAAAAAAGTGAGCTAGCACAAGTGGAAATAGCATAAGGGATGGACAAAGAGCTGGAATATGGCTGTGAATATTTTGTGTGCTGCGGGATCTGAAAGAGAGATCAGATGCCTAAGATGTAGAAGAGGCTCAAGCCTTCCATGTTCTGTGGATAAAAACATTAAACTTCTCTTTCTAGGGTAAGCAGAGCAGATCTCACCTGCCCAGGCTAGATTCTGCACCGCAGACATCTATACTAAGCTGCTCTCTGCTGACTATAAATGGAGTCCTGCTAAGGAGCAGCTACTCTGGGGACACGAGGATTTCATCCTAAGCCAGACACCCAAATTTGGTCAGAAAACCCACGTGCTCCCTCTCCGTCGACTGTCAAGAAAAGCCAGACACCAGTACAGTTCCAGACACCCGCGCTGTAGCAGGGTGTAAGGTGTAAGCGGGACTAATTTCACCATCCTCATGGAGTCTTTTGCTAGTTCAGCACTCCCTCGAGTGTTTTATGTTGTTTTGTACTTTGTTAATAAATAGAAAATCTTTAATCTTTAATAATGCAAACGTTTAACCTCTCAACATTTCATTTCAGCCCAAAATAAAAGTAATCGCATTTATGTTACAGGGAACAACCAAGGCTACTTGGGCAACCAAAACAGAGGCAATTCTTTAGTGATTTACTTGATTCATGCGATACATAAACACTACCTCAAAACTGCTAACCAAAGCCACAGACATAATTTGTCTTGACGCTGCTGTACTGCCATGGACATGCAGTACTTGAAAGGCAACGTGAAACTGGTAAAACAAAGTCTGTCTTTTCCCCAGTATATGTATACCACATCCTCTACCAGGCAGCATTTTTCACTGTTTGTGGTTGAGAACTGGCATAAATGAACACCGTCGGCTCACTGGCAGGAATGTTTATTAATGCTGTGATTTCAGTTTATGAGCTTCTACATCAAGGAAGAAATTCAAAGTCTCTGACTCTACATCTATGTCACATACACAAATCCTGAACTCCGAGGGCCTGTAAGGTCGCGGAGTCCAGGAGCTGCTTCTTTTACCTGTTAAGTGAAGAGGGCTGACTAGTTTTTAAAGACACACAGATATATGCATTTATGTAGGACCTCTTAAATAAAAAAATAGAACATATTGGCTTAATATTTTATTCATACCTGCATCTTCTTTCAGAGTTGTATAGGAAGGGTTTTACTGTTCAAATTAAAAGACAAACATGAATAAACTGACCAACCTTCTGTTCACCCACAGTTTAAAGTACAGGATTACTGCTATAGTTTTAAATTTTACAGGGCTGAGTTGTCCTATGAATTTGAGGTAACTTGTCTTTTCTTACAAAAAATAAAAAATTACCAAGTTATTTTTCAGATATCAGAGTAGCTTCACAACAGTAATAAAAAGCGCAGCCCTATCGCACGCATTTGTCATATGCAAACTACTTTTAAGAATTTGTACGTTACAACACCCATTAAGAGAGCTCACCATATGCACGTGCTTTTTTATCTTGCTATCCATATTTCACAGATCCTGTAAAAGTGACCTCTATAAAATGCACGTGAGGTTCCCTGATGGAAAACTGTTAGAGTGTGTTGAAATGCTCTAAACTAATTGTCGAATTCCTTTTACAGACATGCAGGAAAACCAGAGCCATGATCCAGAATAAACTTTCTGATCGCTCTCATAGCACAATCAGATGAATAAAAAGACAAAATATAACTATTATTTTTCAGAATTCAATCTCCACTTTACCTCCTGCTTCTTCATTAGACCGATTGTGTTCCTTCATATCTTCTACATTTTCCATACTTTCCATTTCCTGGGATTTGTTCAGACTGCAGTCTGTCAAAGCCTCCTGTCCTTCTGGAAAAACAAAAACCAAACAAAACAAACCCAATAATTAACTGTCCGTGGTCCCAGAATATTTCCAGGTGATTACCTCAAAGCGTCTGCAAACTCCCAATACCACTCACAATGCCCCCGATGTTCCTCCTACAGATGCAACAGCTGTGGTTTGGTTGAAGGGATTTGCTTCCCAAAGTCATACACAACCTCTCCCACAGAGTATGCACCTTCAACCAAGTCTCAAGCTTTTGCTCAGATTTAACTATTTTGGAAGTTGTCCTAAATGACAACAAAACTGGAATAAAATCCAGTATATGTAACTCTATACATCATGCACATTCTGACAACTGCTGCTAGCAGGTAAGCAAGGAAAGCTCCTCAGAGCATGGAAAAGGAATCACAGCTCTACTTTGTTCATTTGGGCAAAATATTAATCATTCTGGCCCCGGGCCAGGAAACTGCTCAAGCACATTTCATTGGAAGCTTCTTTGAACCCAGTTGCACTTCTCTGCTTATTTCACCTATGTCTTTTTAAACATCACCATTATCAGAACGTTTTCTGCTGATCACTGTGGCAGCAGTACGTCCCAGAAATCCAAGCCTCTCTTCTCCGAAATAAAGCCAGATTTTTAACTATAGTGAAATGTATCTGGATGAAGTTTTTCAAATAAAACCTCTTTCATTAAATCTGCAATACAAACTAACTCAATGTTATGTGTATTTCTGTAAATTTCACATCAGTATTTTGTTTAAAAATCTGAGTGTTTTCTTTAACAAACCTCTGATTTTTTAAAGTTCACAGCAACATTGTGAAATTGCTGTTAAAATTGTTTAGCTTACTAACGGTTGGACCGTAAAACCCCCAATCCTTCTCAAGCTAAATATTACATTGGATTTGAAAAAAAAGTTTTATTTTTTGATTAGCAAGGAAGTAAACCACTTCTCCAACTCACACAAGAGGTTTGTTTTCATATTTTCAGAAATGCAGTCAACCAAAAGAATCACATTATCCTTGCTTCCCTAATCAAGACTTCCAGCTTTCTTCCAAACACATTTCCTCTCCTACTACACGGTCTTTTTTTCCCCTTTAGTATCATTTTCCAACATCATATTGAACTTCCACAGTTTTAAAAGTTTTGAGAGAGGGTGAAAGAACATAACTTGAGCAGCACAGTACCTGCAGCCATGGGCTGTTCCTGAGAATTACTTAGGTCCATACCTGCTTGTGAATCTGCAAAAGACAGAAAAGCCATCCGAGTTGCTGAGTATTTAGAACCATTCGTGACACAGTTGTTATAATCTTACAAATTCCTGTTCTCTTAACCGAAAGCAAAATTGAAAAAGCAAAACTCCGAAAGAAATAACTATAAAATAATTGTTACATTGCATTGTACAGCTTCTTTATACCTCAAGCGCTGTCATGTGCCCAGAAAAGGGATTAAGGATTATTTTCTGACTTTAAAAAATTAGAGAACAGAACAACTTGCACATTTGATTTAACATCTCATTTTGCACCCTCTGAGCACAGTGGTAGTAACTCTGTATGAAGTGAATTTCTACGAAGTACAAGGTATTTTTACATTCCTTTTTCAATACAAAGGGGAAACCCGATTATCTTCACAGGATCACCTTGGATTTCATGGGAATACAAGTCTAATTCCCATTTAGAAATTCTGATCGGGATTACGCATCAGGAATTGTAAAAAAAAAATTTAGAGGACTACGTATGTGGCCTGGTTCCCAAGAATGCTGAGCACTCAGCAGACTGCTCTGAAGACAATATAGGCTGCAGGTATTTACAGCTCCCACGCCAGCACCCAAATTTAGGCTGGCAAGTTTAACTGGAGACACAGATCTGACCTGTCCAGATAAGTCTTTACTCAATGCCTTGCTGTCTTGAGATTTCATTGATCATAGAATCATAGAATGTTTTGGGTTGGAAGGGACCCCTAGAGGGTTGATATGAGGGTTGATTTTCTTAAGTGTCACAGCTACCTGCTTCCTTCCTCCTTTCTTTCCTCTAGCATTTTTTTTCCTTTTTTTTTTTTTTTTTTTTTCCACATACTGGAAAATCTTTTCTCATCTTTGAACATAAAAAATAATAGCTCCAGGACTTGTAAAATTCATTCCTGGCAGTTACATAACAGACATACACATGCAGTGGCCATGAGGTGTTAACCACCAGTGACATTTACCCCATAATTATCTATCTTCACCACCACTGCGTATGGAACATTTTTGTGGTCTCTGCAACGTCAAAAAATAAAGCTCTGTTAGCTCTACAGCAAAGAAGCCTAGTATCAGCTGAGGCTATCAAAAAAAAAAAAAAAGGCATGAAGAGAGGATGGGCTGATGCATCCAACAAAATAAAGGCAAACTTGGAGAAGAAGAAAAAAAAAAAAAGCAACAACAGAATATGCAGCAAATCTTTTTTAAATGTTTGGATCTGTCGCCTCCCAAATGAAAGCATCCGGCTCCTGTTTCTCAATAATGGGTCTAAGAGTTACATTATGCATGTAGTTCCCATTGCTCTTAACTAGCTATTACCAAAGAGCGGCAAGAAAAAACCAACGCATTTAAGGATGGACTTCTTAATAATTCAAGCCATCCAGCAGCGGCCTGAGCTCTTCAGGGTGTCAATCCTGACTGGAGACAAGTTGTTAAACTATTAGCGCTTACGAAATGTAACCTAAAATTAAATCAGAGCTCCTACCCTTTCATGGAAATTTAGCGTAAGTGCAAGCTTTTCATTAAGTGTCTTATTAGAGCTAAGAAAGTTGCCTTGTGTCAAAAACAGTCATGGAATTAAATGACAAGAAGTTCAAGTGTTTACTAAATCTGTATTTTTAGAATAAATAAGATCAAGGAACTCCACAGTTATGGCTCTTAATTTGTCTTTGTTTCATTTCATCATACCAGGAAAAGTGAGGTACAAAGAAGCAAATGGACCAATTTATGCTGTGAATAATGACAGGGAAAGATCAGTAAATAGGCAGTATGTGACCAAAACTCTCTCCAGTACCAATTTTAATTTTACATTGCAATAATATAGATACTTGAATTACACAAACCCTTGTAATTGTGCAAATAATTAAGCTTTGGACATGACACATGAAATCCCCATTATTCCGTAATACTTGAATTCTATTTTAATTGCCCTCAGAAATCCTGTGCTGTTGTCCCTTTTGGGCGATAAGGCACTGAACTGGTCAAGGTTTAAGTGAAAAGGGTGCCTGCAGGGTGGGGGGGGGAGAGGTGTGGCTTGGAAACTGCAGCAATTCTGCCTTCCCCTGGGTTGCCAAGAGGTCCTGAAACAAAAGAGTTAGAGCCCCCTATGCGGCTGCTTCAGATAAGATAATTCTGCGTATATTCCAGTGCAACTATATTGTTTTAGAAACCACCGTATTCCCCAGGACATCTCCCACGCACGCCGTGGCTCCACTAAGGATGCATACATTCCTTATTGGGTAAATCGCAGCAGCACAAGCTTCTCTGGGTAGGGCTTGGTGCAAGACCCCCAATAGTCAGCAATTCTGTTCTGAGCAGCTCTGATCCACAGCTACAGGATAACTTGCTGGAGCAGGGGGCTACTTGGGCCAGGCGACGGCCAAGAAGGACCTCTTCAGTCAGTCCTCCAACACTCATCTAGTTCATTTTAAGATCATCGCTGCGTATTTATTTACATTTTGTTGAGCATAACAGGTTCCTGTCCAAGATGGGCTGCTGGGCAGTACAATCCTTCCGAAGAGATAAGAACAATGACGCACCATATAACGTTTCCCTTTTCTGTTGAGAAATATCCCAGGCTTTGTATCACTTTCAAGCCTCCACCATCCACTCATCAATACCTGGTTTCTTTATGATAGCAGTCTCAAGCAGCTTTTTACAGCCTCAGCGGTCGCTTAAGATTTAACCTCTTTCCCAAGTCAAGTATTTTAAGCCAGATCCTTCACTGTGTCACGTAAGCATGCTAGAAGTGGAGGGTCTAGGGAGCGTCCATCCCCCGTTCTGTACAAATACAACCATATTTCTACCTAACATTCAGAAAAGCACAACACAGGAAATCACTTACAGAACACGTTAGTCTTCCCAAGCTTCACAGAGATCCACTGGCTAGGGTGCATGGAAAGACGACGCTTGTCTGGTGTGCGTTGCAGCTGACGCACGAAGTTCATTTACAAAGCAGAAGTAAAATTCGCCTGCCTTTGAAACCAATCCTTAGCCATCCTGTGTTCTACACCAATAGCCAAAGTGAGCAAAAATATTCAAATAGCTTTCTAAAAAAGCGTTATGGCATTTCAGTACATAACGGCAATGTTTTATCCTGGTATTTATCCTGGTTAATAGAAGCAATAAACCAGCATACCTGTATCTTAAAAAAACCAAGATTTTTTAAAAATAAATTATACCACCCAGCACAGCTGTAGGCAACAGAACGGAAGGTACATCTTGAATTATTATAATCTTACCTGTTTGCCTCCACAGCGAAAACCAGAACATTGCTTTTTTACTGCCAGCTGCATTTTTCAACCCAACAGCGTTGCGAAGTGGACATCTTTGTAAATCCCATACGCTCTCACTCCTTCTATCACAGCATATGGAACAAACACAGCTCGTTTCCTTGTCTTCGCACCGACTTAAGAGGCACAAGCCAAAGTAAAAACCACACCAATCTTGGCCACCACCCTACAGGTAGACTCCCACAGCCCTATCCCTAAATGCTCACGGCGCAGGCAGTGCTTTTGCTATGTACAGCAGTCAGACGCTTTCCCCCCAGCACGTTTTTCACCATCGACCTGCATGTTAGAGAGAGAAAGCCTCTCTGAATTTCCCCACTGCATGGCCTTCTTCAGCAATTACAGTCTCAATGGCTTTCTGAAGAAGGTACCTGGACCAAATAAACTCTTTACGCTTTTAATAGGGTCTCTAATACTTTGCTGCTTTTGAGCACGATGCAATGTTTGAAATGACACAGACACATGTAATTTTGGGGAAGAAAAACCTCATCAGCAACGTGTAACTAAGGATAACAATTTTCTCAGATTGTAGCAAACAGCAGAGTATCTTCTAGCAATTCAAGGTGTTCATCCCAGTACAGCAAATGGAAATGACAGCAAGAGGTCAGCTCTTATAATCTTTGCAAAAAAATCAACCAGTCGTGAAGAGAAAGGACCCAGCAGATTGCAGACTTTGGTTTCCTAGACCCGGCTCTCTAACGCCCACTCTTGCCAGTGCCCATTTCCCGGTCAGTGACCATACTGAGCCTCCTCACGCTGAGCGCAGAAAATCGAGGACAGAAGCGTTACCCTGTTGTCCTCAGGGGCAAATTTCCCATGGACTCCAGAGGAACCGAGATTTCCCCAGGACCCATGAAAACAGAGACAGGGAGCAGTTACTGTGTCCAGAGATGATAATGTATATCGCTGCCTTTCGCATTAGCTTCATCCCGAAGATAACAAGCTCAGGCACATTAACAGATCCTCACAATCCCCACATACAGAGCTAAAACCTGAAGGACTATTTGCATGTTAACTTTAAGCGTACAAGAAATAGGAACACAAAAAAGAGACTTCTCAAATGATTTCAGCCGTAGTGGCAGAACCATGCTTATTTTCTTATCGGAGACTAAAATCACTGGCAGAGCTAAAGAGCTTTCTTCTCCCACGAGAGAGACACAGTCATCCCGACTTGATCAGGAAAACAAGGTTGCATTTTTAAGTGCCAAACTGCCACCAGACCCCTTCTTCCAAAAGAAGAGTTACATCTCTCAAGCAGCGGTAGTCTCAATGAGGTCACATTCTGAGAGCAAACATTTAAATAAAAACATTTTAAAAGCCTTTAGTAAAGGAAAAGACATGTTTAAATAGACAACTGCACCTAACTTAAAATAACCAAAAACCTCAAGGCATTGAGACACAGCAGAATCTAAACTCAAGCCCTTAAAACAATGAGTCAAAATGGTCTAGGAGGAATATCCCCCTCTGAACTAGTAAGTGATGCTTCGCAATGCTTCTTTGCCAGGCTTGTTAAAAAACACCGGTAATTTGCTTTTCTTGAAAAGCGAATTATGCCGTAGCCCAAGATTAACTTGCAACTTGGTGTTTTTTGCTGGCTCTGAAAGTCACACAGGTTGTACAAGCGAAAAGAAACCAACACACCCTTTAATTCGTTAAGACCTAGAATACGAACAGTAGATAAAGCCAGCTCTAAAACCCAACTTTATCATACGTGCTGTGATGTTTCTGAAATTAAACAGAGGGGTGGGGGGAGAAAAAAAGCCCCGTTCGTTTCCTGTTTAATTGCAAGCGCGATGAGGTCTCTCCTCCAGAGGCTGCAATCTGTTTGCAGAGCACTGAAGAAGCCGCTTGGAAGCAAACGGGAGGCGGAGCACGGGGCGA